GCACTACGGGAGAAGCAAAACAACAAATGGCCATGCGGGAATCGACATCTGGCCCCGTCTAATGTTTAGATTACTCCTAGTATGTAGAAATTTTCTTGGAGAGACCAGATTTTGCACGCATACTAATGTTGGCCGTTTCGCGCCTGTTCGGCTGCAGAGGAAACACTAGTGAAAAGGAAGCTCCGCTTCAGGTCGACAGGCACCTTGAAACCCGTCACTCGCTTACCGCCTTGGGCACAAAAAACAGGACATATTAGAAAAACGCACGGGAAGATTAGATTTCGCGTATAGAGGACACGAACACAGGTGTTTGCTTCACAGGTTCATGTAGATCTAGTGCTCAGGTGACTACGAACTCTGTTGGGGAGGTGGTTTTCGTTTTATTGTCCCCATTCCTTATTCTGCCCTATGTTTCCGAAGTTTCCTTTTTTTGATTGATTGTTTGATTGGAGCTCAAATGTTGCAACAAAGCGAGCACAGAGCTGAGGTTCAGTGTGCGTTCCCTAACTCCCACTGCTTACTTGCACGTTCCCACAGGATTCACACTGTCGGCCCCAAGTAAAATTTTGCTTCGCATTCCTTTTGCTGGCGGCCCTGCATGTTTGTCTAATTTCAATTTTTCCACATCCTTGTTTTTTAAAAATCAAACCGGCAAATATGCTTCATTGGAATATCCCAAGGCTTTTGAGCGCATCGCTCGTGGTGCTGAGCGCCTTAGCATTGGGTAGCTCACAAGGAAGTCAACCAACAGTCAAGTACACTGCATCACGCGGTATGTTGTATACCATTAAGGTGCCGCTCAATTGGAGCTGATGATTAGGCAGGCGTGCGTTCCAAGTCACAGATAGACAGTCTCAGCCACCTGCTAGCGACTTGTACTAGAAGATCCCCTCCTTGTTTGATTTGCCAAAAAAGCGTTCTCAGCCAATAAATTACAAGAGTTGAGTGTATTCGAATTCAATGGCTGCAGGCGGAAGTGTGAAGTGCCTCAGCGAGGTCAACGCTGCACGCGAGGCAGCTGGGTTGCCCAGCTTCGGAGATGCCTCAGCGGACAAACAATTGAGTGATCCAGGCTCTTCAGAGCTAGGCGCAGGCACCGAGTGGAGAAAACTCTGCGAATATTTGATTCCAGTAAGTTTCACGGGGAATCTTAGGAGGTAGAGCTATCGTGATACCCTGCACGGTAACACTTTCTTTTTTCATGTCTCAGACGCAAACAGAACCTGCAGAGGCGGCAGCTGCAGCGAAACCATTTGAGCAAGGAACATATGCGTTCAAGTCCCTT